AGGATACGCTTCACTTGTCTCTTTGACAAGTTGTAATGTGATGCTAAGAATGGCAAGGCTCTCTGAGTATGCCGGCGAAACGTCTGGGAAAGTATAAAGTCCATGATCAAAATCAGGAAATTATCATGCATACTATGAACTCCAGGCAAGATGCCTTCCCCTAGTTCTTCCTGCCAAAATGACAAAGTTGGGAAAACAAGGTCAAACAACTACAATATAATGAGAAGATACCGCAACTATACAAAAGGCCATACCATCTTGGTCTTCATACCTTCAATTAGCTTAATTAGTTCCTTCAAGTTATTCCCAATCTAAATTTAAGTATTGTTATAGATTAAATGAAAGGGAGTAGACATACTGCAACCAAACAAAATCCCACACCATCTTGGCCTTCATATATGCGAAGTAAGCATGGTTTATTACGTATCGGGTAGACAAATATATGATAGATGAAAAATTCTACAATGTAAAGTATGAATAAAGCTACATACTTTTCTCCTCTACACGAGACCAATGTTCAATCCACCTATCGTCTGCTAGCTCTAGTCGCCTCGTCTCGTCTGCTGTGACCAGTTTGGGCAAAGCACAAGGTGGAAGGCGACCAGAGCCGGTAGTTTTTCCCCTTAATTTCTGCCTCAGGTTGGATCCGGGGTAAGCATTGCCGACGGAATTGGGGATCCGAAAGAGACTGAGAAGCGGTGACTCAAGGTCATCACCATTGTTGATAGCACTATCAGTATTTTCAGAAAGGAGACGACTGGCTTCAGACCAAGCTACTTGGGCGTGATGGTGCCGGGAGAGGTGAGTACACACAGCGGCATGCAGCTGCTGCGTAGATACGAAAGGACCTGTGGCGACAGCTGGAGGAGAGAGGGAAGGCGAGAGAGTGAGCGAAGGTGAAGGAGGGGTCGATGGCGAAGGGCAGGAAACATAGAGAGGCCAATTGCCAGAGGAAGAGCAAGCCAAGGATGGAGCAGAAGGGAGCTCACACTTTGCAGATGATACAACAGGTATATAGGGACGGTCAGAGGTGTTTAGGACGAGAGAATGCGTAGAAATACACGAAGTGTAGGGGCAAATGAGCTCAAGGAGTTCAAGGTTGATGCGCAACTTTATATGGGCGAATATGGAATCAACATGATTTTTGGCACGGCGAAGCAGATCTTTCACTGTTTATAGAGGGTATAAAGATTAAGGCAAAAAAGAGAAAACTTCATTTAATAGTGAAATAATTAGCTTAATAATTAGATCTAATATGCCTATAATCAACTGTTGAGGCTAAGTTAGGTATATTCTCCAATTTCCTGATGGAATGCAAGCGACAAAGGCCATAAGTATAATTAAGTCAGAATATAAAAGATAAGATAACACTATAACTAAAAAACAATGTCCCCATGTAGGCAATATATGTTGGGGGCTAAGTTACATAGTTGTCAAAATAACGAACATTAAAATCAATAAAATATCTTAAAATAGGATTTGCAAAGAGACTTTGAATTCAATAGGCTTATCAAAGCTAGTGGAAATTAAATGAATCAGATAAAAAATAGGATGCTTTAAGAATATGTTTTATAAAAATATTTGTGCAAATGTAAGCCTCCATAAACGAGAAAAAGCATCAATAAAAATAAGATAAACATTCTAAGATTAATAAAAAAGAAGTAGAAATACCTTCTCGATGCATCTCGTTGACTTTAAGCCAGGGAAAGAGTAGCTCCACAGTTTTGGAGAACCAGATGAGCAAACTTCGCAGAGACATATATTCGGGAGAGGAAACCGGAAATGCGGAGAGACGTACTACGAGACGGGTAAGCATGCGTCGAATAACGAGACGCTGGAGGGGAAATAATTCAAAATAGTGCATCTGGACTAACGTTTAATAATTCAATATTACCACAATGTTATTTGAAGTTGAAGACGATTTAAACTTGCATAATAAAAGATCAAAATCCTACGTTAAAATTAAGAGCTGAAATCAGCAACTACTACATTTTGGTAATAAAACCGTGAAAAATAGAACATGTAAAGTTCTGTCTAAACCATAACGTAGAGTTTGACACAGATCGGTGTTCGTGTACTAAGAGAAATTGTAGATCCGATCCACAGCTCGTTGTAAGGGAATAGTGGAGTAGTGATACGAGGCTTGATAGTTGAGTTTACCACAATGTAGTGAGTAAAAGGCCTCATAATGTATATGAATATCATTAAGCTTCCCCCTTGCTTAGTTATTTAGGATGAGTTGCATTTTGGACCTCGACTGGGTCCAACCAGCAGCCGTAGCAACTTCACCAGAGCCTCGAAGCTATGTAGCATATATGAATTTTAAGGCAATTCAATACTCTTAAGATTTACGTATAGTTTAAAAACAAACACACTATTTATGCCAAAAAATATTTGTTTCGTGGAGGAACAAAAGCGAATGAAAGTGAAAATATTCTATTTAAAATGATCGAAAATAATTAGACACGTGGAAATAATAAAATGTATAAAAGATAGATGCATAGCAATGCAATCAAAGCCATTCGAAGACAAGCTCAGCAAGATGGAATAATTATAGTGAAAATTAATTATATTTGGTTTGATAACTCTTGATCAGGTAACATAAGAGGAATCCATCACTAAGTCACTAATAAAATCGAAACATCTATGAATGACACCAAATATTAATTAATAAATGATAGCAGAATCGTAGCCATCTGTAGGCAAGAAAAATGAGCAAATAGGTTTTATATCATTAAAGTAACAAAAGAGTATTTGCATTTTATTGCAAATAGGAAACTAATGAAAAACGTTCTAAGATGAGAATAAGAGTTCACTGAGAGGACAAATGAATATATGACAGCAGTGTTCAATCTTCAATATGAATGGATAAAGCCCCAGAGGATATTTCAAAACAGGGTAATCATGCCATCAAAACCAGTTTCCGTTTCTCCGTTGTCTGCAATAGGAGTCATCTGTCAAGGATTCTTGAGTATCTAATGAACTATTACAGTTTAGGTTAGGTGTAGTCAACTAGAGTTTAGTCAACGGGAACTTTAAAGAAGAGTAATCAGCGTTAAAAATAGTTCAGCCAGTAATTCATAAAAAAGCGCGAATAAGGTATAAATTAAGAAATAATTTAACAATGAATGAATTTCGAAGTCTCACTTCACACGTGAAATTTACCATGGGTAAATTGCGTCCAACGCTGGAAAATAAAGTGATTTCGAAAATGCCTCGTCAGATTCCATCTTTTCTAGGCACTTTCATCAGTTCGATAGATGGAAGAAATATAGGGATCTTATTTCGATGGATAAAGTATAATTTGCAAAATAAAATACTTAATAAGGCGTTACTTTTGAGATTAAATTATTATTCTTAATTTAAGATACCGGCTCATAGCAAATAAGTATATTCGTCAAAAGGTGGGCATTTTATGGAACAAGAACCGCGAAATACCCTTTAATATCTTAGTATTTTTTCTTTATAGTGATTTAAGTTTAAGCTATTGAATAAAACCTGATATAGTGGGGCATTAATGGACCGGGGGCTGACATTGGTCTTCAGCCAGAAATAATGATAGAAATAGGTCCATATAGGACATAAAAACCATAGTTTACAGTTAAAATCCAGCCAAACCAGATTATGTAGAACCAGCAAAATGAGACGATAAATCCCATAAAACCTGATTAACCAAGCTGGTAGAAAAAGTTAGGAAAAGATGAATGGAAGATTTAGTCTAGTTTACTGATGATTATGATGGTCCTAACGACAACCAAACGAATAGGCTTGCTTACTAAAAGCTGAATGACGAAAATCAGAAAAATTTTATATTCTTTGCAAACTCATCATTTACCATAATCATTTGGTAAATTAGACCATACAGAAAAGTGCATATTCAAACTTAAAACTTACTGGTACAAACCCGGAAATTAAATCGGCCTTTTCGTCATGAACTAGCCATGCAGCAGGCCCAGGTGCCTGAGGTAAGATAAAATTTGGCTCAGCTGACTCTAGACTAACTCGACGCTTTTCTCGATTAATGGATGGAGAGATCTGTCCCGAGACCAATGAAGAACGCTGTTGTTGTTGCTGCGACAGTGGCGATGTTTGTAAAGCGAACCGTACACCTGACGGAGGTAGAGTAGAAAGTTGAGACACTCCAGACGCATGGGTTGGCTGTTTGGCCGCAAGTTGAAAGTGGGCGCCAGTAATGGTCGTCTTGACAGGAAAAGAGCCACTAGCACTGCCACCGTCATTAGCAGTTGTATTAATGTTGGCAGCGTTAGGTGTAGAAAGACGAGTGATGCCTGACTTGGCCGGAGAGTCAGAGGAAAGAGGAAAAAGTGGCGTCGGATAACCACTAGTGGCACCAGTACTACTAACAGCTCCTGAAGAATATAACTGCGGTAGAGGTTGATTCTCGTCTGAGTAGCCAGCACACGTAATGGGACTGGTCAAAGTAAGAGCTGTGGCCAGCTGGGTAGGAAAAATTGCTGATTGGGATGATGAAGAAGGAAGCATAGAGGGATGTTGGGAATAAGTCGAGCTAAGTGAAGTGGCAAAGTGGGCTCCATTGCTCGTAGAGGGCCCCGTAGAAAGGTTGGAATTGTGAGCAGTGAAGACTGGCGAGGGGTAGGAAGAGACGGCAGACGTGTCTTCTCTGGACTCGTCGCATTCGGGGTCAAAAGTGCCGTCAAGCTGAGATAAGAAAAGCGTTAGCAAAATAACGCAGAACGGAAACGGGAATTAAATCGTTCGCATTTATTGATTAAGGAGGCATTTCTTAACATATGAAATATTTGAATTGAAGGTTACCTTAGACCTTCATTTAAATATTTAATTTTATTAATAGACTGTAACCAATGGAGCCAATCATTTTCAGATTTTGTATGATGCCTATCAGGTGGATTCAAATAGATGTTTTGTATTCATTTAGTGGAATATTTGTCATATGATATAAATCCTAAAAAAAGAAAAAGAGACTGGCGTCGAATCTGAACAACCTGGCCAATCTTTTAGGTCCCACTAAAATGAGAGCACTATCATTGACTGCCTGTAGAGCAATGGCAGTAGCGCTGTTTTGGGGGTCCTATATAAATAGCTAAATAAGGTTTTGATAAACTTGGATTCATCGAAAATAAGGTTACTCGTTCCATATGGGTTAGAAGCAGAAGAGTCCGACTTTAATGATTAGCTTATATTTGATGAAAAAATATTACTATATTAAAATAAAAAGCAGGAAAAACTTTCGAAAAGATTAAATATATTTGCATTAAAATAGAACCCACTTGAGGTAAGAAATTCGAAGAAAAATTGCCAGCAGCATTTGAAAATGAATGTGTAGAAGAGGCATAGGAGGCCGTGATTGGAGCGGTATCGGTAGAATTGGAGGTGCGTGAGTCATCCAAAATGTCGGAAGACGATTGAATGCAACTGTTGATCAGCCTGTGCATACGATCTGTAAGTTGGCCTCGAGACCATTTTTGAAGAGGGCTCTCAGTTTTAATCGGCTTGTGGCCCAACTCATATACTTCCTTAATCTTTATATCATCCTTATCGCCATCGACATCAACATCTTCACTATAATAATCATCATCATCCTTATAGGTTGGTACTTGCTCATCTTTTGTTACTACTGCGGCAGGCTGTTCAGACTCCGATTTTCCCTTGTCTGAGCTATTTATATCACCAGGACCAATGATCCCTTCGACGAGGCGTGGCTTTTTAGTAAAAGATGCAGAACCCTCCTTAGGATCACAGCTCATGCAGAAGACGTCAAACTGACTTAATTGATGGGCAGGC